AAAACAACAGACCTATATTGTTTTGCTGCTCTCCTGTATCCCTGAACCTTTAATACTATCTCACAATGAACAGAGACTTTGAAAGGAGCCACAACGTAAAAGAAAATGTCTCTTTGCTAAACATTCACACAAACAGCACCCAGAACAAACTGTACGCAGAATAATAGGATGTAAATGGAAGCAGACAATGCCAAAACTGTACAATTATATTTTTGTCTGTCCTTGATTTTGAGAATTTTATTATTCATCAGAGTCCTGTTCGTATTTGTTTTGTTTTAATGTCTGAAATGCTTTGCATTTCATCCTAATAGTCCTCTCTGTTCTAAATGTTTATACAGCATGATTTACTACAATGTGGATGTGTAATTATGGTGATGATTAGACAAAACATTTTTGACAAGAAAGGAAAACAGTAGTTAATAATGTTTTCCATCTGTTTGGTAAAACCCAACTTAAAAGAAGGAGGCCTAAGCATGTACCAGAGTCCAAGGCAACACCTATGTAAGTACATGACAGAAATATAAATGCCTAATGAATTCATTCTGATCATTGCTCACACATTTTTGAAAGCACTACCATCTGTTTTATAGATAAATATTACTGCAATTAATGTCAGCACATGTTTATATTATATCATTTCCAGAGTCTTATTTTAGAGCTAAGACGCCTTTCTTTTCAGAAGGAATAACGGCATATTTTAAGCTATTGGCAGGAAATGCATTGTAATTAGGATAAAATGAGTGAATTTCAATAATGGCTTGCTTCTCTATTGGAGAAAGTTAGAGCATTTAAAGCTTCTGTTCTTCATTAAGGGCCAGATACCGGGTCACTGCCTGTACTGCTCACTGAAGGCTTAAAAAAAGCCTAAAAATTATAACTTGGCTGCACATGGAAAACAGCAAAAATAGATATAACATGGATGAGTCTTCTTCACCCTTGAGATGTGTATTTTATGCCTCTGCTCTGCCCTTATGCTGGTTGATTAAGAGTTTAATCATGCCAGGAGCGTGGCTCTGATCTACCCAAGCTCGTACTCACATACTAAACTTTTTAGCTTTTTCCAGGGCTGAGACAAAAGCAGGCAAGCTAAAGATGCTATTTTTCCCCATGGTGTTTAGCAAGGGCCTGGCTATGAATGTAGCATGTCTTTATAGATGAAGATTTAATCCCTCAACTCCCACTATGTTCCAACAAAACAAAATCCCTTTATGCAGATTTAGCTCCTTCTCCATCAGAGAATCTAAGAAATGTGTCCAAAACCAAACAGACCCCATAAATTAACTGGATACTTATTGACTTAGTACTTAAGTTTATATGATGTGCCAGTCAAAATGCTATAGAGGCCTGATTGAAAGCACACTGAAGTCAGCTGAAAGATTCCTATTGTCTTCTGTGGGCTTTGGATAAGAATCCAACTACTTTTGTGCATCCAAAAATATGTATGTCTGCATCTGGAACATGCCTGACACTTGAAAGAGAATTCATTTATTGTTGTTCACTACATCAATACCTTACTTTCTATGCCAATGAAATTAAGTTGCAGCTGAACTTTTCTTGTCCTGCTCCCAAAATTTCATGCACCTGTATGAGGACCTGCTATTTGAAAATCTGTGCCTGATGACAGAGAGTGGTGGAATTTTGTTTAGAATAAAGTAACACATCTTGTTCCTTCAATAGATTTGGAATTGCCAGTTCCACTGTCAGACCCAGAGCATAGCTATTTCAGCATAAGGCAGGGCAGGGTGGCACTTTTTATTAGTATCTCAGTTTTTCTTGACAGAATGTAATTTTGTTTCTTCACAACAGCCACAGCAGATGCTGCCTTTGCTAAATCTAGCTAAGATTTAAGCATCTCTGGAGAGGCTTAAATCTACTAGCACTACTCAGAATATTACTAACAGCCAATAGATTTTCCTGGATGGCTTCCATCATGGATTCCACTTAGGCAAAGTCCATAAGTATCCACCTAAGTTTCCAGCTAAGTAATTGCTGCTAAGACTGTTTTAAAGAAAAAGCTGCATGTTTGTTTCCAGTAAAAAATTCTGTTTGAAAATGTTAAAAGACCACAGGGTAAAATACAGGCTGCAATCAAACCAGACTATGTTGCAGCCTCTATCTCTGAGTACCAGTCAGAACGCCAGAGATCACTGGCACTGGAAGAGCATCCTAGGTGATTTATGATTCTTCAGTGGGGGACGTGCTACTGAAGCTAAAGTCAAACCATCCCAAAATGCAAAAGGCAAAATTGAAACAACCTGAGTTCAGCATACATGCCCCTCCCTTCCTCCTCCCCACCCCAAACTTACACTCTCCTCCTCAAAAAATCTTGAAAACAAGATAAATTAGTAAAACTCAAATAAGCAGTTTTAAAAACTAAACCCTTGTTAAGTAAACAAGGTACATAGGTGCTGAAGACCACAGCACTAGCTTGTTACAATCGGTATTGAACAGTAAGAGAAACTGGTTGGATGACAGCTCCCTAATTCAACCTCTTCCTCAGAATTTCCAGAATGTCGTATTATAATCCTGGATGAGTAAAACATCCAAAACATGGAAACTTGGTACAAAGGTAAGAAGGGATTTTGCAATGGGCTTCAACGAATCTCTGCGCAGAATATTATAGCTATTGAAAAAAGAAAACCTAACTGGTTTCAAGGTGGAGTTTGGTAAGTTTATAAAAGACATTTTAGGATGTGGTTGCTTGTAGCAGCAGATGACTGAAATCAATGATCTAGGAAGTTCCTTTCTAGTCCTGTTTCCTATGAAAACAAACCAAACCAAACCAAACCACAAAGTTTGAATCCATACCAAGACCCAAACATCAATGGGTTTGAGCATGTTGGATACAGCAATCTGGTTTGGAATACTGCTAAGAGAGCCTGATGGAAAGTTCTGGTCAAGATTTGAACTTCTAGGAAGGATGGAGTTTGTCAGACTTGGAATTCTGGTGCAGAAGTAAAGCACACATGGGCATGTGCACATACCTTTTGCTTTGCTATGTATCCTTTATTCTGAAAAATCTTCAAACAGCAGTAGGCAACCCCCAGCATAGGTGCCAGAGTGTGGCACACAAAGGCATTTTGCTTAGCATATGTGCCTCAGGGTGGACAACAGGGAAGGGGCCAGGGTCGTGCTGCCATAACAAGGATTGGGCCACTCATGGCTCCCCCACTGCCTGCCCCCGGCACACCAACATCTTACAAGTCAAAGTTGCAGGTGTTTTTGGCACTCTGCCCAAAAATGTTGCTGACCCCTGTCTTGAAAGATTTTACAAATAATAATTAAATAAGCCTCAGAGCACTCTTAAAAGTTAAGGAGAATGTCACTTCTCGCTGAGAGCAAATGCAGTAGCTGTTTAAGAGTAAAGAGTTATGCTTCACAGGAGTCTAGAGCCAGAAGTGATAAAGAATACTACATATAGCTGAAACATCTCGGAAGGCCAAATGTAATGACATGAGTGGGCCTAGGACGGGGTGGGCAATTATTTGGGCTGGCAGGCCACTTTAAGAATTTTGGTGACCTGTTGAGGGCCACCGTCCCTCTCTCTATCTCTCTCTCTCTCTCTCCCCCCATCCTTCCCTCGCTGCAACCAATGCAGAAGCCAGAACCTACCTGCAATTTTAGCAGGCCCTGCATTCCCCCCTCCCTTCCCCCACCCCAATTCCAGACCCAGCAGCTGCTGCTGGCTGCATCCACAGCTGTTCAACCATGGCCAGCAGCTTCCAGGTCCAAGGGGGTGCAGGGGATGCTACAGCTGCAGGCTGCGACCAGCATGTAAGCCTTGAACCCACCTGCAGCTGTAGCACGACCCATCCCCTTCCCCTCCTGGGAGTTGACAGCTGCCAGATCCAGACTTGGGGCATGGAGGGCATGTTTCTACTTCTGCACTGGTGGCAACCCCAGCCCAGAGAGAAAGAGAGCACCTAGCATGCTGGAAGCAGCCCCAGGCCACCTGCAAGCCGGATTCATCATTCAGTTGGTGGAAGCCCACCTGTGGTCCAGATCCAATCAGTTGGGGGGCCAAATGTGGCCCACAGGCTGTATTTTGCCTACCCCTGGCCTACGATGACACCTCTGCCCTTACAAAAGATTATGCAAGTTTGTCAGGACCCCAAGTTGCCAGGGTCTCTGTTTTATGGCTTATTCTCTTTAGTGTTCTCTGCCTTCTTGCTGGGACATTGGTTTAGTAAGATTCAGTTAGCTGAATGCAAATTAATATTGCTCAGCCCTTCAGCACCAACATACATCCCCAATGGGGCTCAATATGCTGGAATTCAGCAACAGGCCTCACCCCCACTCACCCCATCCCCAAATTCCTGGCCCTTCTAGGAGCCCTGTGGGTTATATGATTTGTTCTGAGGGCCAGATTCAGCCCATGGGCCATACCCTTGACACCCTTGCCCTAGGTCATATCAAGCTTTATGTGCATGAAAAATATATTACAGTATTAAACAAAATTACAACTGCATTATGCAAGCTTTTCTGCAGGCAACTGAAACAGCTGTTAGATGCTTTGGTGCCTTATACTGTACCGTAATAGATAAAACTTCAAAGAAATTAAGTTGTTTAACAATATGGCTTTGAGTCCAACCACCACACAAAGCAGGAGGGAGAAGGCAGAAAAATATTTATACAGGATGTACTCAAATTGTAAGGAATAAAGGTTTCCCTATGTAAGAACATTTATACAACATGTTACTGTTCTGTGGAAAACAGATTCTGGCTTGCAAAGTATAGTATTACACTTAACAGATACAGCATAGTTCCCAATGATTTTTCCTGTTTTCTTTTCCTGTCCAGCTTCAATTCCTGTAGCTTTTTAGTAAAATAAAAGGACCAGAAACTACAATCCCTTGTGAAGTCTTGCAGTTAACTCAAATGAGAGTTTTAACTGGAAAAAGCACTCTCAATGGGCTGAGAGTTGGCCCAGTGACACTGTATTTCTTAGGTTAAAGGGTGACAAGGGTGACAAAGAATCAACAGCAAAGGGTGACAAAGAATACTCAGTTATCTTCCTTGGTTGCATTATCAGTTTTTCCTGTCTGACAGACCTGGAGCTGCTCTGTAATATATTCACAATACTGCATGTGTCTGTGTGCTGGTTATTGAGAAAGTTACTGTATAAATATGTTGGTTAAGTTTAATTGTGGGCTGTTGGAAAACCAAGCAGGAAGTGTAGCAGTAGCTCAAGACTGGTCCCCATTTAACAGCACTTAAGGGACAATGCAAGAGCTATTCAATCTGATATTCTGTCTCTGATCCCCTGCTGAGTTCTCTGGAGTAGTTTTTCAAAGTGTGCATGGCTGGGCATGTGGGGGGAGAACTTGTGAGAGAACAAAGATCCTGAATGGATTTTAGAAAGACTTGCATCCTCAAGCAGGAGATACACATATAAGGGAAAGACTGAGGCTTAGCCTACACAACAGAACTTTAAAAATAGTAGTTACATTAGAGCAGCAAAGATCCCTCCAGTAGATGCAGATCTGCTGTTAGAAGGCATTTTTCTTCTTCCTACATTACATGCGCCCCCCTGAACAGCAGAAACCTTGCTAGGAGAAGCCTTCTTCTGCTGGCAGACTGTGTCAACATTGGGAGTTTTGCCAGCATAGCTACATTAGTGACAGGGGGAGATATTTTCAGACCCTGAGCCACTGTAGCTATGGTGGCAGAGACAAGGTCTGCTGCACAAAGCCCTAGTTAAAAATGACTGGAAAAATGAGGTTTCAACCAAAGAATGGCAGGACTGTAGGGGAGAGGTATGTGCATGCATTTCACTGATGCTATGCTTTATTGCTGTTGATAGGACTAAACAATGCAGTAGTTGAAGATCCAGCTCACTAGTCACCACTGTTCACAGATTCATGAACATCTGCAGGTACTGAATAAATTCAGCCTTCTTGTATAAATAGGGACCTATTGAAATTGCAATTTTGCGAAAACTGCAATTTTGGGCAGGCTGCGTGGAAAAAAAAAATTACTGAAAATAAAATGCCGGCTCCCTCTGGGGAACCAGCAGTCCTTGTGGCTGCTTTGACCTGGTGGCATAGCTTGGCGGGGAGGGAAGGAGGAAGGGGGTGCTGCTGGCAGAGCTGTCCCTAGGGTATGGTGAATCAGGACAACCACCCCAGGCCCCGCGCTTTGGGGGGGCCCTGCAGAGCCAGGCGGAGTGGCTGCAGCCCCTCCCATGGGGCCTACCCAGAGCTGGTGGCTCAGTCCCATGCTGCGGAAGAAGCACAGAAACCCCCTCCCCCTCTGCAGGGGTACTATGGCCCTGCACAGTGTTAAGGGGGCCCCACACAGGCTGATTTGCCCCAGGCCCCGCACCTCCCTAGGGTTGGTTCTGGCTGCTGGCATGGCAAATAGGGGCTACCCCTGCCCCTTGCTGTTGATTAGACAGCTGATCCTTGGCTCCCACCCTTGGGAGTACATTGGAGACAAGGGTTTCGATGGACCCCTGAAGCTGGGAGCACAGATCAGCTGATTGCCACTTCCTGCCTCAGAGCTACACAGGAGTCCTTGATTCTGATGCACCCTGAGGCTGGGCACCCCAATCAGCTGCCATGCCCAGCCTCCAGGGTGCAGCGAAATCAAAGGCTCCACTGTACCCTGAAGGCTGGGAACACAGTGAAGTCAAGGGCTCTGATGCACCCCCACAGCTAGTCAAAGGCTCCCAGGGCTCCCAAGGCTGGGAGCTATGACTAGCTGATGCCTACCTACATATGCAGTTTAAGGCACAATGGGAGCCGGCTACCAAGTTACACACATTTTGGGCATATCTACACAGACCCCTATGGTGCTGTTGTTACTACACTGTCATTTAATAATACTTCCTTTTGGAAGTACTAAATGATGGCGCAATAACAGTCTTTACTGCGCTGTGCCAGCAGCACACAGTTATTTTTAGCTGCTACATTGCTGTAGCAACGCGCTATACCGAAAGAGTGTGTTGCTATGGCAACGTAGCTGCAGCGTCACGATTTATGCCCACTGTAGCGCATTGCTACAGTGATGTAGTGTCATGTGTAAATGTGCCCTTTGTGGAATAACTTTGTGGTTCAGTCCTTGTTTTATTGCACTATTAATTGCATTGATGTGTGACTGGATTACAATTTAAGGACTAAGTACAGACAGTCAAAAAGCCCAAGGGTGAATCAATTCAATCTTTGCAAATTAGTCTAACCTGCATAGATTGAACCAATAAGCAAGTGAACAGACATTAACTTTTGACACTGGAAATGCAGCCACATGCCTGCAGTGGCTCAGGCTAGAAGCAGGAGAGGCGGACTAGAACATGCCTCCCTGCTCATCTTGAGAAGACAGCTTGGGCCACAGCTAGCCCATCCACCCTGCGAGGGGGGTATGCGGCGAGGTGCAAAGCATGCTGGGATGCTGGGAGACTATTGAGTTAGCTTGAATCTGGAGGGGATCTTGGACAGAAGTTCAATAAACCAATTTAACCTTTGGGCTCCACAATTCAAAAAGGATGTGGAGAAGCTTGAGAGAGTCCAGAGGAGAGCCACGCGTGTGATCAGAGGTCAGGAAAACAGACCTTATGACGAGAGGCTGAGAGCCATGGGACTCTTCAGCCTGGAAAAGCACAGGCTCAGGGGTGATCTGATGGCCACCTATAAGTTTATCAGGGGTGACCCCCAGGATCTGGAGGAACATTTGTTCACCAGAGCGCCCCAAGGGATGACAAGGTCAAACAGTTATAAACTCCTCAAGACCATTTCAGCCTGGACATAAGGAAGAACTTCTTTACTGTCCGAGCCCCCAAGGTTTGGAATAGACTGCCACCAGAGGTCGTTCAAGCACCTACATTGAACGCCTTCAAGAGAAAATTGGATGTTTATGTTGCTGGGATCCTTTGACCCCAGCTGACTTCCTGCCCTTTTGGTCAGGGGGCTGGACGCAATGATTTTCCAAGGTCCCTTCCAGCCCTAATGTCTGTGAAATCTATGAAATCAGTTAAGTCTGATACTACCTCCATCCAGGTTTATTTTAAAATGGTTTCAGAATTTTGAAAGTGGTTTATTTGCACTGAATTTCTATTATGTTACAGATTTGAACCAGTTTCCTATCACTTATACTGGTTTATGTGTAATTTCCATCCCCAGCCCAGATGTCATTAACTAGTTAATCACAAGTGAAGTGTAATGTCTGCCAGCGGCCTTTGTGTCAGCAGAGAAGATAGAGGATTAGAAAACACAGGAAAAGTCCTTTCAAAAGAAGCCACAGGAAAGCCATCAAGAGAAGAGTTGAACTAAGTGCATCTGGGTGGTAACCAGCCATCAGTCTGGCTAGTAAATTTCATTTTTGGCAGGCAGCCAAGAAATTATAGAAGATTATGATTAGGCAATTAATGAGTATTTTTTATTGTTCATTATAAAACAAATATTTGAAATGGGGCTCCTCAAACCTAAAAAATACCCTTGGTTATTCTAGATTACTCTTTTCAGAAGAAGCTTCTCTCTTCCCAATTTTTCACACATTTTTGTTTTGTTCTTTGTCCATCAGGGGAGCCAGCTCACTCAACCAAAAATGTATTTATATGATAGACAAAGCAAGGCTTCTATCGTAATTTAAATTGCCAGTCTTCATGACTGATTTGGGTATTTCTCCCATTACTTCAATTATCATAACAATTGTTTCATAATCTTGATCTTGTGCTCAGATACTGTACTTCCTGTAACAGCAGAAAATGTCAATGATGAAGAGACTTTGCTTGTTTTTTACTTGTTGTGAATCATTTACTTAAGAAAGACTTTCATCACATGTTTTAGACACCAAGATGTGCGCAAGTAATTGGTGTGAACTGCAGTTGGAGATATGCATGAATTTCAAAAAGAGAAGACCTACCTTATGGATGTAGTCATGGAGTACTTCCACATCTGTTAACTTCACTGGTGCACTCTACATCCAGCAAAAGCAAAACAAACTATACACTGTATAAGTTATGCAAACAAAGTATACCTGTTCTGACCTCAAACAATGAATACAATTACTTGTTTCAAAGGTGACTAATATTATTTAAAATAAAAACATGGTTTTCTAACAGATTAAGAGTATTAACTCTTTCATTTTTGTACTAAGTGGTTGCTTTGTTTAGTTATGCAGTTTTCCCTTATTGTTATAGGCCTTCTGCCAGCAAATCATTAGGATTAAAAAGGAGGAACACTAGAAAGTTCAGTATTATGCATCTATTTTGCCAACATGTAGCAAATAGGTATAATCCATCATTTTCAATGCCCCTTTCAATAGTATCCTTCACTACCTCAGATAATTTAACAATCACAATGACAGTCTAATTTTTTTCCTCTAGTAGCCAAGATGTTTTCAAAGGAAACTTTTTTTCCAGTAGCACATTCTGGATTCTCTACTGAAATACTATTAGATGCAAAACGCCTTCCTTCTTTGGGCCAACGTCAGGAATGTTGGAAAGATCTGGAAAAGCCATTCTCATTTTTCAGGTCACTCAGAAAAATCCCTACAATCTTCCTGTCATTTCTATTCCTTTTACAATCCATCTAATACTGGAACAGCTTCAAGAGTCTGAAAATAGGTAAACTTTTTTGTTGGCGGCAAACTCAAGGAATTAGACCGTGGCCTTCCCACCCTCTCTCCTCTCCTGTCCATGTCCATTAGTGGAGAAAGAAGGTTTTTAATAGCAATGGTCCAAGCATGGCTTATTTGACCCAGCTGGGTCCCCATCACACTTAATGGTAGGAGCATGGAGTGGTATATATGCATGTACAGATACAATGGTTTCATACTGCACTAGTTCCCTGCTAATTTACATTAATGACTAAGCGTCCCATTGTTTGCCATCTGTACACAAAGTCAAAAAATCAAGAATAATGCAGCCCAAAATGTAATTTGCTTACTTACTTGACAAATGTAATTTAGCTTGTGGCACCATATAGTTCTCTATTAGGTTATGTAAGTAAAATGTCTGACCTACTTAAAGATTTCCAAACAACCCTATCCCACAGAGAAATATTGTCACTGTATTTATAATTTGTAACCTCCTTTCATGGCATAAAATGCTCTAATCAAATCTGTCTGTAACTGTGCCACATGTAAGATCTCCTAGAAATGTGATATATATTTATTCATCATGGTACAACAATTATACCGAAGGGACTCATACTACCTGTCATTTTACAAAGGAAAAATAGACAAATACTGTAAGTGTATGCAGATCTTGTGTGTGTCTTGGAGTAAATTTGTTTTTCTCTGTTCATCAAAGAAGTGTCAGCTGTTTCGTGTCTGATAATGTCATTAGCACTGGAAAAAAGCATTTAAACTACAATATGTGCTTTTCTTCATTGCTCACAGTGGTGGTGACCTTGGCAGAGTAGAAATTTAGTATGAAAGTGAGAAGTTTGCATTTGCTACTGTTGTTCCTCATTAAGCTCCCATTTATCATTGAAATGCCACTGACTAACAATGATTTCATGTCAATTCTTTATAAATACCATAATGGAAAAATTTAACATCTATTTTGCAACAATGGTCACTCTCTGAAATTGTAAGACTTTGGTGATCGAACTGAGCGATCTATACTACTATAGTAACACAGTGTATTTTATTTAGGTGACACCTATTCTGTCCAAAAATCCTGCAGTAGGTGCCTCACACAAGAGATGGCAAAATAAATGCGCTGATAATTGTTTTTTAAATTATGTAAATGACCTTCTGGTAACAACTTCAGTGAATAAATGACCCCTTTTAAACAAAGCTCTGTCTGTAGTGCTCCCCATATCAAAAAGCAAAGTACTAGATGACAAGGACCACAGCAGCACCAGATATATAAAATCATTTTAAAAAGAAAACCAGGAACAAAGAATATGTTTGTATATAGTCTGGGCTAGTATTATTATCAAGGCTGTCACATTTTCAGTCTTTTGATATAATAGCTTTAAATGTATTCTTATATTATTTATCATTCTTAAATATTTTTTTCTTATTTTTCTGGTAATTCCTTCTTTCTTAAGAGGAAAACATTTTTAAGAAACAAATAGCAAAAGGCTTATACTTTACGAATGTATCATCATGGTACCATACCTTCCTGGAGGTATTACACACTGATGGCTAATGTTTATGTATCATCTCCATCAAAAGATCACTTAGCACTAATTCCTCAGTTCACTCAGACCAGTCAGGGAACCAATCAGAACTGTTCCCTATAACATTATAGTGAGCTTTAAAAGATCATTATAAATATGCATTTTTATATTAATGGAAATGTTTCCACATTACCCAATCAAAATTCAATAGTCCTATTGAATCTAACAGGCCATAGAACCAGCATGTTTAAGGCACACCAGTTTTTGTAGCTAGTGGCACACAGGAGAGTTGTTTGGCTAATATCACTTCACCAAAAAGTTGGATCACATAGGGACAACCTTTAGCATAAGTCCAAAGAAAGGCTCAAACTCAGAGCTGTAAGTTGTCATAACCTCTCTGCCACTACGTCCCTTCCATTTCCTGGCAGAGCACGTTCCCGTGTATTAATTTTTTCCAGTTGGTCTCAGTAAACACCAGTGCTTACCATTTAGAAATGAGCAGCTACAGTGAGACTCTGTATGTAAAAGTCAGAAAGATGATTTAGGAAGAAACAGTGCCCAGGACTGAGGGGGGATGAGGAAATAACTTAAGAGTGCTGTATGAGAGGGCAAAATTAAGAGAGATAAAGAGTGGTTATTAACTTCATACCCAGTAGGTGCCTGCATCCAGATATAGCCTCTCAAACCATTCTTCCTAAGTTCTCCAGACAGTTCTCCAGAGAGCTGTCACTTCCAGAAATCACCTACACCTCTAATTTTCTGTTTCCTTTTAACAGTATTTTAAATGGATATTTAAAGAACTTTAAGGATGGGACAGAAACAAGTACCTGAGCTAACGTTAGTGATGAAAATTTCCCCAAGGTGAGAGAAGAGACTTTTCTGCGTTTACTACGCAGCACATTCTCCTCCCCTTTCCCTCCTCACTCTTCATACTTCAACTTTTGATATTTTGAAGAAAATGTGAGTGAATTGAACAAATCCTCCAGAGAGTCAGCCTGACATGGTGCTTTCCATTCTCACTGTTAAAGATTTGGTGCCACCATGTGGCCATATTAATTTTGCTGTTTTGCCCAACTGAAATGTAGTTCTGTTCCGAAAAGAGCCGGGATATGGTACACCTGCCAGAAAGAACCCAGGCTGGGTAGATTTTTTTAAAAGTCTGGATAGAGTTTGAGGTGCTAATAATTGCAAAAACTCTCCATCTTTCTACTTGACAAGTTTCCCCTGGATGGCATTCAGACAAAATAAGCATGGAATAATGGAACAGAATCTCTTTTGAGGTAAAAGTACATTTAAAAACCTGATCTTAAGCCTGGCTTTCATCATGTATCCCACTTTATGTCCAAGGTTTGCCAACCCTGAGCATTACAAAGTTCATGGGACTTGACTTAAAAATCTGGAGATTTGAGGGGAAAAACGGGAGTTCTTTTTCATCTACATTATGGAATTTTGAGTCTGTAAACTTCACTTTTTCAAGATTTTCTCTAGACCTGTGACAGCCAGAAACTTACTTTGATTATATTAAAAAAAAATGAAAGGTGAGAGTCTCATAATCCAGGCCTTGGGTTTTAAGTTAAAGACAAAAGTCATGATATCTGTGTTAAAAATGTGAGAGTTGGTGACACTGGGCACATCTACATGTTCATTAATGCACAGTAGTTACTGCACATTTCATTTAGTACTTGCTCAATGAAGTACTAACTAAATGCACGGTAACACGTTAACTGCGCAGTAGCACTGGTGCAGTTTTTCGGTGATGTTTAATGTGTAGTAGCCTAATAACACTGCACAGTAGTGTATTAGCATGGTTTTTGACCAGTATGCTACTGCGAAGTGTTCTTAGTCTACTGCGCAGTAAGCATCTCATGTAGACACACCCACTGAGAGCTATTTCCATGTCTATATTTAAACCTATTTACATGTTTAGGAACCTAATTTGCAAGTGCAAAAAATAATATCAAGTTTGAGAAATCTGTCCTGAAACCAAACAGACTTCTATAAGAACTTTAAAAAGGGGGGTTTCCACAAGGAAGTTTCACAACCCCTAAATGGATCCACTTCCTGAATTAAAAGTGAGCTAAGCATTTTATGTGATCCTGAAATGTTAAGTTAAAGTAATGCCACAGTTCCTCTCCTTCCCTTCAGAGTGTGAGACAGCAGATTTAAACTCCTCCCCTATCTCTCAGCCTGACAGACTGTCTTGGGAATGGAGAAAACTAACTGGATTCCTTTCTCGTGTTTGGTGGCCAATCAGCAGGCTCATTTCTTTCTTCATTGCCTTCAAAGGAATCATGGGCCTGTTCCTTACAGTTAGATCTTACAATGTTCTGTTCTTGGTGCTCAAGCCTTTCTCCTTTAGGCCTAGTCAAAAGGCCTTTCTCCCTTTGCCAGTTAACCAGGTAGCTGACAAATTAATCTTTAGAGGAACACAGCCAAAATCTTCATTCCTAAATCTTGTTACTCTGACCCTTTAAACCACAAAAGTATGATGAGTTCTGTGTAGCTGGAACATACCTCAAGATGGTGCTAGGAGCTTGTGTTGTGCTGTCATCTCATTTCTAGTGAACAAACTGGAATATCAGTCCAAGACAACTAGAACTCCAAGTGATGTGCTGGCTTGAAACATGTCAACCCAAGCCCCTGATTCTGGTCATCAGTGATAAGTACTTGATTATACACTCCAATTCCTCCCCCACAGCTGAGCTCTCACCCTTTCACTGTTGCAAGCACTATGAAGTAGTTCATAGATTCATAGATTGAAGAGTCGGAAGGGACCACAAAGGGTCATCATGTCCAACCCCCTGCCCCTGGCAGGGAAGAGGACTGAGGTCAGATGACACCAGCCAGGTGTCTATCAAGCCTCCTCTTAAAGACCTCCAAATTAGGTGATAATCCCACCTCTCTTGGAAGTCCTTTCCAGATTCTGGCTACCCTTACTATAAAAAACTTCTTCCTAATGTCTAACCTGAATCTACTCTACACTAGTTTGC